TGTAGGGGCATATGCCTGTAATCCCAGCAACCTGAGAAGCTGATGGGGGAGGATCATGAGTTCAAGGCTAACCTCAGAAATCTGGCAAGAGGTCCATCTCAAAATAAAAATAAAAAGAACTGAGAATGTAGCTTAGTGGTAAAGCACCCCTGGGTACAATATCTAGTCAGAAAGAAAGGAAGGAAGGAAGGAAAAGGAAAGGAAAGGAAAGAAAAAGTAAGAAAGAAAGAATCTATTCTAAAAACTAAAAAGAGATACTGGGTACAGTGGCACATGCCTGTAATCACAGCAACTTGAGAGGCTGAGACAGAAGAACTGCAAGTTTGAGGCCAGCCTCAGCAACTTAACAAGATCCTAAGAAACTTAGTGAGACTCTGTCTCAAAATTAAAATAAACAAATAACAGACTGGGGAGTAGCTCCGTGGGTTCAATCCCCAGTACCAAAATAGATAAATAAAATAAAGACTAAATAAAAGGAATGAAGAAAATCTGAGAGACCTAAGGGAATACAATCAAGTACACCATAATACACATGATTGTGAGTATCATAAGAGATGGAGAGAACCAAAGGCTTAAATAATAATGGCTAAAACGAGCCAACTTTATAAAACTCATTAATCTTCACACCAAAAAAGTCAATGAACTCCAAGTAAGATAAGAAATCCATTCCTAAACACATCAAACTACTGAGAGACAAAGAACAAATCTTGAAAAGCAACTATAGAAAAATGACTCATTGTTCATAAGGGATTGTCAATGAGATCAATAGTTGCATCAGAAACTATGAAGGCCCAAAGGCAGCAGGTGGACATATTCAAAATGCTGCAAGAAAAAGACTATTAGCCAGGAATTTTATAGTCAGTAAAACCATCCTTCAGAAATGAAGAAGTTAAGTCATTCACTCGTTAAAAAGACAAAACAAAACAAAACTGAATTTGTCACCAGCAGACTGGCCCCATGAGAAACAAAACAAAACAAAACAGTTATCCTTCAGGCTGGAATGAAAGGATGGTAGGCAGTAGTAAAACCCTTGGGTTTTATCCCCATACTGAGGGGAGGAGGAGGAGGAGGAGATAATGATGACAGTAAAAGAGAAAGAGAGCAATAGAAAACATGAAAGATTTACATAAAACAAATAAAATTCCAGATGTAATTCATATATATATATATATATATATATATATATATATATATTCATTAATAATTACATTAAATAAAATTGCATTAAATATTCCAATAACAATGCAGGGATTGAAAGATTAAAAAAATTATCCAACTACATATAGTCTATAATGAACCACACTTTACATTCACAGTCACACAAAGGTTGAAATTAAAAGGATGGAGAAAGATCATATGAATAATAAACAAATGAGATATGGAGTGGTTACACCAATATTAGGTTGATAGAATTTAAGACCAAAATTGTTAAGAGGTAAAGAAAGATATTTTGTAAATGACAAAAGAGTCAAATTATTAGCATGATATAACAATTATAAGCACAAATGCACCTAACAACAGAGTCCCTAAAAACTGATCAAATTGAAGAAATACACAATTAACAGTAACAGTTGGAGATTCCAATATCCTACTATACCAGGAGTATATAGAATAACTAGGCAGAAAATCAATAGGGAAATAAAGGACTTGAACAACAGTGTATACTAACTATTCTTATCAGACATCTCAGAGCACTCCAACAAACAACTGCAAAACATACATTTTTTGTCAAGGCATATGGAACACCATATATTAAGCCATAAATTGCATTAATGTATTTGTAATAATTGAAATAATACTATGTATGTTCTTCAACCACAGTTAATGAAATTAGATATCAATAAAAGGAGGAAATTGGACTGGATTTGTGGCTCAGTGGTAGAGCGCTTGTCTACCATGTGTAAGGCACTGGTTTCGATCCCTGGCACCACATACAAATATACAAATAAAATAAAGATATTGTGTCCATCTAAAACTAAAAAAAAAAAAAAAATTTAAAGGAGGAAATTTACAAATACATGGAAATTAAATACACTCCTAAATATCCAATGAATTAAAGAATAAATCATAAGGTAAATGGTTAAGGCCCCCTGAATTCAATCCCTGGTTAAGAAAGAAAGAGAGAAAGAGAGAGAGAGAGAGAGAGAGAGAGAGAGAGAGAGAGAGAGAAGGAGGAAGGAAAGGAGGAAGGAGGGAGGAGGGAGGGAGGGATGGAGGGAGGAGAAAAAGAGAGAGAAAGAAGGAAAGAGAAAGAAAGAAAGAGAGAAAGAAGAAACCTCTTCAATTACAACCTTAAAAAAAAAAAAACCTAGAAAGAAGAGCAAAATACACCTAAAAGTTAGCAGAAATAATGATTACAGCAAGAAAAACAATGACAATCAATGAAATCAAAAGTTGGTTCTTTCAAGATTAAACAAACAAAATATCAAACAAATTGGGAATAGAAGAGAAATTCCTCCACCCCAAACCTGATAAAGGACATCTATGAAAAACCCATATAACATCACATTCAACAGTGAAAATTGCTCTGCAGGGTGGTGCAGGCCTGACACCCCAGCTACTTGAGAGGTGAGGCAGAAGGATTGCCGTCAGAGGCCAGCTCCAGCAACTTAGTGAAACCCTTTCTCAAAATAAAAAGAAATGAAAGGGCTGAAGGTGCATTTCAGTGGTATAGTACTAATGTGTGAGGCTTGGGTTTCAACCCCCAGAACAAACACAAGGAAAAAAAAATAATGCGAAACAGTGCAGCCACTATGGAAAACAACGTGGCAGTTTCTCAAAAGTTAAATATAGAGGGCTGGGGATGTAGCTCAGTGGTAGACATTTGCTAGCATGTGCAAGGTCCTGGGTACTCTGACCAGCACCACAAAAACACAGAAATAAATATAGAGTTACCATATAATTCAGCAGTTCCACTCTGGGTATATATACGAAATAATTCAAACTGAAGTCTCAAAATATTTCCACACAGATGTTCATGGCAGTATTCTTCACAACAGTCAACACATGGAAGCAATGAGGACAGACATCTCTCCAAAGATATATAGGTGGCAACCGGGATAGGAAAAGATGCTCAACATTAGTATTCATTGGGGAAATGCAAATCAATGCCACAATACCTCATACTCATTATGATGGGTACTATGAAAATTTAAAAAATGAACAAAAAAAAAAAAGTGTTGATGAGGATGTGGAGAAATTCTCTTCACAGAAGAATATGATAATCAAAGTGTGGTGTATATATACAAGACAACATTATTTTGCCTCAAAAGGGAAGGGAATTCTGACACATTGAACAACGAGAATGAATCTTGAGGACATTATGCTAAGTGAAATTGGTCAGTCACAATAATACAAATACTACGTAATTCCACTTATCTGAGATACCAGAGAAATCAAATTCCTTAGAAAATAGTGAAGAGGAATGCTAGTTGTCAGAGGATAGGGAAAGGGGAAATTGGGAATTGTTTAATGGACTTAGAGACTCAGTTTTACCATGAAAAGCTCTGAAGTTTGGTGCAATAGTGTGAATATATTTAAAATTACTGAACTGTACAGCCAGGAATGGCTGAAGATGATAAATTTTATGAAATATGTATTCTTATCACATCTTTTTAAAAGCTATAAAAATTATTTATTATGTTTTCAATATGCTAGATGATGAGATATTGTCATTCATCAGATTTGTGACAATTTTTATTTTTCTGCATCCTGGAGTAAATCCCTTGACTTTTGTACCTCAGCTTCTACCTGTGTCTATCTGGATGCTCACAAATTAACCTGATATATATCATTTAATCCTACTCAGTGTGGTGTGTCAGGCTTTTCCATATGTAATTCTCACAAGTGTTCTGAACACATTAAAGCTCAGCAAGGTCCAGTGACTTTCCTCAAGGCCATGCAAGCAATGGTTCTCTCACTGGGTCCCATTGGCATGACCTTAAAGTCTGGGTTCTTATTTACCAAGCCTTATCTTCATGCAGCTAGTTTTATCCTGAGAACCACTTGGGGCTCCTAAAAACTTCAGATCTTCCTTAGAGATGAGCAATTGTTTAAGAATTAGTGAATATTGACTGTGTGGATCCTGAAATGGGCAAATTAACAAGTGAAGAGATAAATTAAAATAGGAATGACTAAATGGACAAACTTCTGTAGCCCTGGAGAGGGGTGGAGTCTGAAAGAGAAGGAAGAACAAAACTGCCGAGTGAGGACATCTCACTCTGTGCTCACCAGAGCTCTTCTACCCTGTGCTGTGGACAGAGTTGCTGAGGACAGCCCAGGGCCTGGGTCTGTTTCCAGCTTAGGGAGAGGCCAACTCTGACACACCTTTGTGTACTCCCAACAGCAAAAGAGGTTCAGGTAAGGTGTTCCAAGGAGAAGAGGGTGAAAAGAACAAAAGGGGGGCTGGGCATGGTGGCGCATGACTGTAATCCCAATGGCTCAGGAGGCTGAGGCAGGAGCATTGCAAGTTCAAAGCCAGCCTCAGCAAAAGTGAGGTGCTAAGCAACTCATTGATACGCTGTCTCTAAGTAAAATACTAAATAGGGCTGGGGATGTGGCTCAGTGGTCAACTGCCCCTAAGTTCAATTCCTGGTACTATTAAAAAAAAAAAAGAGCAAAGGGGGTACTTGGCAGGTTTGTGTGAATGAAAAGGGACTTATCTATTATTAGATCTGACTGGTTTATGTGGGGAAGGCTACAGAAAGGGGATAAAATTAAAGGGAAGACCTGGCCCCAAACAGTCATGGCAAGTGAGTTTCAGAAAGGATTTGGAGAGACACTTGCCAGGTTTGATGATCAATTGCTTGTGGAAATAATGAGGGAGAAGAAGGGGTCTTCATTATTGGTTCTTATGTACTTCAGTGACAGAGCCCAGAGGAACAACCTGTAGTGGGTGGGGGTGGGTTGAGGGTAGGAATGAACAGAGATGTGTACTGTCACTTTTGCTAGGTGCCTTCCATGACTCCAAGTGCTTATTTGGAAGCCTGCTCCAACATGAGGGACTTGTATGTTGTTCCTTCAGTCTGAGTGTCTTTGCATTTGTGTTTTGACAGGTGTGTGTATGTTGGGTGGGGGTCTGTTAGTTGAGGCCAGGGTCAGAATAGGTGGAGCCAGAAATGGCTTTCAGAGAGTAGGGAAGGAAAAGCCTCAGGAAGCAATGTTTTATGTAACCACTAGTATTTCCATTTTTGTGTTATTTAACTAAAAACCACCCTGTGAGTTAAGTCACTTGATCCTCGTGCCAGTCTGGAGAGCTCAGCAGGCAGACTGGGTTGCCACATCCTCAGAGCTAACAGTGTTTCTAGACTGGCATGGAAAACCAGCTGACTCACAGTCTAACACAGAGCACTTGCTGACACTAGGTGAGTGTGTACTTGGCCCTTTTCAAGGAATGGACTTGAACTATTTAATTACTTGTCATACTATTTAATTACTTGTCATAAATATAAATCTAGAGAGAAGGTGAGGGCACAAGGCATTTCTTCCAATGAGTGCCCTCCCACTAGCCCCAGCTCCCCTTCTGAGCCCTCTAAGCCTTCGGTGAGGGAGCCCCCTTGCCAACCTTCTCTGCTCCAGCCTCAGGACTCAGCACTGAAGGAACATGGTCCAACCTCATTTTTCATTGTATTACAAGGACAGGGAGACTGAGGCAGGGGTTGGAGGGGGCTGGATGGACCTCTTTCCCCACAGGCCTTGGTCTCCCTAACCATAGCTCCCTCTGCAGGGACAGAAAGACATGACCTGGAAATTGATACCACTTCTGCTATTGGCCTGGATAGCCACCACATGCAGTGCCCGGGACAGGACTGACCTGCTCAATGTCTGTATGGATGCCAAACACCACAAGGCAAAGCCAGGTCCTGAGGACAAGCTGCATAATCAGGTCTGTCTGGAATGTGGTTCCGTTGGGGAAGGGGCTGGTTCTAACAGGGAGGAGGAAGTCAGGGTGGTGGGGGAATAGCTTGAGAGGTCATACCCCCATGCCCAAGTCATTGCTGCAAGAGAAGATGAAAGTAGAGTAAGGAGAGTGAATTTGGAGGTGAATTTTTGGAAGCCCTCCTCAGGACAGGTACCATGTAGGAAGTGTCTGAATAATCCTATTAGGTATCATGTGCTTCTGTATATGATTTTCTATTCCCAGTGGTTCTTTGACACAGGTAGGTGATGTTCTCCATATCACAGGAATAAGGGAAATGAAGGTCCACAGAAGCACTTGGGTCCACACAGGAGTTGGGTATGACCAGCCTTTGTGATGGGGAAGAGGTAGGACGGGTATTTGGAGGGTGGGAGACCATGGGAAACATGGTTCTTCTTAACCTCACGACATGCTAATTCCATGGAGTGGCAAAGGTAGAATAAAGGAAGGCCCCTTGTGACAGGGATGCAGGGCATAGTGCTTGTACATTCACATAGTTTATAAAAATTTATGCCAGAAGTTTGCAACCATATTAGACTCAATGTCTACTTTTTTTTGAGAGAGAGAGAGAGAGAGAGAGAATTTTTTTTAATATTTATTTTTTAATTCTTGGTGGACACAACATCTTTATTTTATTTTTATGTGGTGCTGAGAATTGAACCCAGCGCCCTGCGCATGCCAGGCAAGTGCGCTACGGCTTGAGCCACATCCCCAGCCCTCAATGTCTACTTTTTATGACAAATATTTTTAGATCTTCTTTCTTTTCTGGAGTAAAACTCAGGCTAATAGAATTTACATGTATATTCAGTTTTAAAAATATCAACATAATGCTCTATCTGTAATACAAAGGAATTGCAAGCAGAAAGTAGAGGTGCTACTTGACTTACCATGGGGTTATGTCCTAATAAGCCCATCACAAGTTAATATGCCTAACCTACTGAACATCACAGCTTAGCAACCCAGTACACTGCTGAGAATGGACTATTGCCCCTTGTGATCACATGACTAGCAGCTGTGGCTTACTGCCCCCACATTGTACTATATATCGCTACCCCATGAAATTAAAAAATTCAAGTTTCTTTCCTTTCTTATTTACTTTCTGTAAACAAGATGGAACCCAGGGCCTCACAAATGCTAGGCATGCACTGTACCACTGAGCTATATTCCCAACCCTCAAGTACACTTTCTACTGGATTCATATCACTTTCACACTATTCAGTTAAAAGTTTAAAAAAAAAATCCAAAGTCAAACCATTGTAAGCTGACAACCACCTGTAAAAATAAAATATTTTCTAACTCTGTTCACATCTGTTCTCTGGTACATTAGAAGACATCAGGAAATAGTATGTGCTTGCTTTCATTTACAAAATCACTATGAATAGGGCAACTATATATGAAGATTGATATATTTGTATTCCATTGGTTACATAAATGCTATAAGATGCTCTAAACAGGGTTTCTATCAATGACATAATTTCTAAATCATTAGGAGCACTGGAGCTACTCAAGTATGAAAAAATAGTTGGGATTACTTTCTATTTTAAGGCATTTTCAATCCTGGAAAACCCAGTCTATATTAGAAGCTTGTGGAAATATGATGTATCCATGTGTAAGATGAAGTCAGGTTTAGATTTGGAAATAATAATAGATCTTTCACTTTTTTCAGCAAATATGTTTATGAGCTTATTATGTGTCTGGCACTGGCTTAGCCTTTGGAGACAGATCTTAATACTTATCAAGAAGAATTAATTTAGTTTAACTACATTACTGCATGACTTTGCCTCTTTGCTCAAAATGTCACCTTCCAATGAGGCTTTTCCCCACCATGCTATTTAAAATTTTAACAATCATCACATATTCCACATTCTCATTCCCTGCTCTAATTTTTCCCCATATCATTTATCATATCCTGATTTTATCTCATTTTTTCTCTTTTCATTTCTTACTTATTGTCTGTCTCCCCTACTAAAATATAAGGTCCATGAACATATGTTTCTGTCTGTATTGTTTACTGATGTATTCCCAGCAATACAACTATGACTGGCTCACTCTGGGTGCTCAATACTTAATTTTAAAAATAAACAAATGAGCTGGGTGCAGTGGCACATCCCTGTAATCCCAATGACTTTGTACGCTGAAAATTTAAGGCCAGCCTCAACAATTTAGTGAGGCACTTAGCAACTCAGAGAGACCCTATCTCAAAATAAAAAATAAAAAAGGGCTGGGAATGTAGCTCAGTGGTAAAGCACCCCTGTATTCAATCCCCAGTACCAAAAAACAAAACAAACAACAACAACAACAAAAACAAATCAAAAAACAAATGCAAAGATTTTACATAGGGCTGGGTTGTAGCTCAGTGGTAGAGCGCTTGCCTAGCATGTGTAAGGCACCGGGTTCAATTCTCAGCACCACATATAAATAAATAAAATATAGGCCTACTGACAACTAAAAACAAAGACTTTATATAAATGATAATTATTATCCCCAAGACAAGGTTACCCTGGATTTCCACAGAACCTTGATTATGCTATTGTAATTCTTTCCCCCTTGAGATGGGGGTTCCTGAAAGTCAAGGACAGAGAGGTCTTTGCAGTGAGTGTTCCTGGAGAACCTGCCTGGGGCAGGGGATAAGAACCAAATGGGATGAGACTGGAGGTGGCAGGATAGGTGTGGGGTAGAGGGACTCAGTCCAGTGTCTTCCCTACCCAGTGCACTCCCTGGAGGAGGAATGCCTGCTGCTCTGTTTACACGAGCCAGGAGCTGCACAAGGACACCTCCCACCTGTATAACTTTAACTGGGATCACTGTGGTAAGATGGAGCCTGCCTGCAAGAGACACTTCATCCAGGACAACTGTCTATATGAGTGCTCACCCAACCTGGGGCCCTGGATCCAGCAGGTACAGGTTTCTCCCTTACCCTACTCCAGTAGGCTTCCTGCCCTCTGGCTCAGTTCCTTCAAGTCTGTGGCTATCATCATCCCTGGCTAAGACGAGCCCTCCTTCCCACTCAGGTGGACCAGAGCTGGCGCAAAGAGAGGTTCCTGAATGTGCCTTTATGCAAAGAGGACTGTCAGAATTGGTGGGAGGACTGTCGCACATCCTTCACCTGCAAGAGTAACTGGCACAAGGGCTGGAACTGGACCTCAGGTGAGGGCCTGTGGGTGGGGAGATGGAGGTAGGGTTTGGAAAGGGGGACGTTGAGGAATGGGGGTTGGGTAAGGATTTCTGGGATGACAGAAATGAGATTTGGGTCCCGAGCTGGCTGACTGTGTTCACCATGTCTATGACTGCAGGAGTTAATAAGTGTCCAGTTGGGGCTGTCTGCCGCACATTTGAGAGCTACTTTCCCACACCAGCTGCCCTTTGTGAAGGTCTCTGGAGTCACTCATACAAGGTCAGCAACTATAGCCGAGGGAGTGGCCGCTGCATCCAGATGTGGTTTGACCCAGACCAAGGCAACCCTAATGAGGAGGTGGCTAGGTTCTATGCTGCAGCCATGAATGCTGAGGCCATGCCCCATGGAATGGGTCTTCACCTGCTCAGCCTGGCCCTGATACTGCCACTCTGGCTCCTCGTCTGAGTCCAGTCTTCCCCATACCACCCTCTGTCTGCTCCCAGCTTGGATGACCAGGCTGGGCTCCACTCAGCTTCCACAAAAGAGATCCCTAAACCTGCTTCCATCTATTACCCACTCTTCTGCTACCCAGTTCCTCCTCCATGATAGGGCTTTGGGTTCTTCCAACAGTCAGTTCTAATAAATTAGTGACATATTTATGTGTGATGTATTATTTTAGCTGTGAGTTGGTGAGTAGTGGGTGAGGGACAGATTCCATAGCTTTTGTATTTTAATACAACTAGACTTGTATTTTAATCCCGGCTCTGCCATTCACTATGTAAAATTCAAATGCTTGAAAACCTTAGTTTCCTCAATAAAATGGAGATAATATTCCTTCCCTTGGGCTTGTGAAATGTAAAGGAGTTGTTGCCTAGAAAGAATGTGTTCCCAGTGAGTGCAATCAGTAGTCCTCAGGGATTCTTATTGCTCCTATGGCCCTAAATGAGAGTCAGGTCCAGGTCTTCTTATTTATATTGGTTCCCAAACATTCCCCCTCCCCAGTGCTTGTCTGCCTGACTTTGCTCAGCTCTGCAATGGGAAAGCTGAAAGTGGGAATCCAGGGGAAAAAGTTCACACTGCCTAACATGTGGACTAAGAGCAAAGCTGGAGTTTGGGACCCTCAGAGGAGGAAGTGGTGACTGGGAAAGACAATCTGGGAGATTTCTGAAGAGGAAATACTCAAAAGACTGGAACTGGCCCTATGTTGTGTCCTGGTGGTGTGTCTAGAAGAGGATTAGAAACTCTGAGGATCTTCCCAGAGGCAAGAGCCAGGCCTCTTCTCTAGTACTTTGTCCCCTCCCAGGATCGGTAGATATGCTGGTCTTGGAGGGTTGTTCTGTCTTTGCACAGCACTCAGGAGCTGGGCCTGAGCCTATTTCTGGGTTTCTCGCTTTCCAGTTCTCCTTGAGAAAGTCTTTATCTACACCTAGCACATTTGTCTCCAAAGAGGCCCCAGGTAGCTGTCTGAGAACAGCTTGCAGGGAGGTGGGTGTCCCAGTTGGGATTAGAAACCAGGTGTGCAAAATTCTAATCTAGGTCTCTCTCCCCCTCGTATCAGACTCACCTTCCCTCATATGAAAAAGTGTATGCCTGATGGGGAACTTGGGCATAAATCGGAAGATGAGTTATTGGAGTTCTGGTAGGATCTGAACATGGGGTGGGTAGGTGGCGCGGATCACTTAGTTATTGTATTAAAGTCCCCATAGAGCTACCCCTGTCCTTCTTCCCAGGCTTTGTCCTAGTGGGGTTAAGCCAATGCATATTTGATTTAGAGAAAGTGCCTTAGGACTGACCCGGGATCTGCCAACAGGTTCAATTTAGCAAAGTGAAAGTTCTCTCCCAGGTTAAAGTAAAGCTCTGACAGCTGTTCAGGACTTGGCGGCGCAGGACGCCGGGCTGGAGGCCTGCGCCTTTAAGGAGCAGGGGGGTGGGGGGCGGGGGGACGGAGGGGCGGGGCAGGAAGAGGACTCCCGGGAGACGCCGCCACCGGCTAGGTCTTTTTTTTGGGAAGGGGCGGGCCAGACCCTAGTATGGGCTCCACCCGCTTTCCGGCGGCTGGGTCTCCCTTCCGCCCGGGGGTGACGGGGCGAGGGGGTATGGGGGGCGCGGGGGGCGCGGGGGGCGCGGGGGGGGGGGGGGGGGTCGGGGGTTCCTGGTCTGCGGAGCCCTGGGCTCGGCGTGTCGCCCTCAGAGGCACAAGTTTGTTGACTTGGAGGAGTAGCTGGGGCGGGGGCGGTGCTAATAATACCCATTCGTTCTGCGGCGCGCTTTGCAGTTTACACAGCTGTCACCTTCGTTACTCCTTAATTAATAATAAAAATAGTCCGGGAGCACCCGCTGGGTGCCAGGCCCTGTGCCGAGTGCTTTACAAGCAGAGTCCCATCGAGTCTGCCCTCATAACATTAGCCCCACTTTGCAGAGCGGGAAGCAGAGCCTCCGAAAGGCGCTGAAGCTCGCCGGAGGTCACTCGGCGGGTGAGAGGCTCCGGGACCCGGACGCGGGCCCAGCGAGGCGGGGCGCGGGTGCTACCGCTGGCTCCCTGGAGAGCCGCGGGGGGGGGGCGGGGGGCGGGGCGGGGGGGGGGGGGGGTGTGCGGCGGCCGCGGCGGCGGCGGCGGATGGCCATCTTAAGTGGCCGCCTAGAGTCCAGGGCTGCTTCCCGGGGCAAGGAGGCACCCAAGCAGCCCCGAAGGTGGGGGTCTGCATGCGGCGGAGAGGCCTCTGGGGAGAGGCCGGAAGCCGGTGGATTGAGGGAACTTTGTCCTAGATGGAAAGGGGATCCCCCTAGGCTGGGTCTGCGGGTCCTCTCAAGACGCCGGCCTGCGGGTGCCGGGAGTGGTGCCAGGGAACTTGGCCGAGAGGGGGGAAGGGCTTTGCCGGGCTAGGAGGGCCGCGCATGGGGGGCTCGAAGACGCTGGTGTTCGTCCGGGGGTTTGTGGGGATCGGATCTCTATGAAAGGGACTTCCTCCTTGGGATTTGTAGACGGACAGGTACAGTGGACTTTGGGGGTTCAGATATAAGGGAGGGCTGGTTTTAACGGGAACTGGGTGTCTTGTTCACTTGGATGATGGGGTGGTAGGCTCGTCCTGGATCCTTCCTTTGAGAACCTCGATACTCCCCGATTCAAGGCGCCCAATGAAAAGGATTTGGGGTGAAATCACTTTTATGGGGGTTAAGGGTCATCTCCTTGAGAGGATTGAGAGGGCTGAATTCTTCAGGGGGGTGCCGGACTCCTTAGTGTCCGGGAGCAGAATGGGGGAGACTTGGACTTCGGTGGGTACTTGGGGACTGAATATTCTCGGGATGGAAGAGCAGGATCGTTGTGGGGTTTGGGAGGTGCAGGTTCTGCGGGATTGTGGAGGCACTGTCCCTTCGAGAAGAGATTGGGGGCAGGGTCGGCCCGGGCAGTGGGCCGAGCGGAGGGGGAGGGGGGCTGGCTGCCGGACTCCCTGCTCCGCTCCTGCCCCTCCCCCGCCGTCTCTGAACAAACTTTTCTTTCTCTTCAAGTTGAGGCCGGCGCTGCAGGCGGCGGCGGCTGCGCGGCGAATCAGGCGGCCTGAGCGGCGGAGTGCGGAGTCCTGATCCCTGGCTCTGTCCGGCCCGCGGATCCTCAGGCCCGGGACCCGGGCGCGGCCCCAGCGTCGGCCCTGAACTTCCCGGGGCGGATGGCGCGGGGTGGCAGACGCGGGCGGCGCTGAGCCCTCCGCGGGCTATGGCTTCGGCGTGTGGGGCACCCAGCCCGGGGAGCGCGGGGTCCGGGGGCGCGCTGGGCAGCCCGGCTCCTGCCTGGTACCACCGCGACCTGAGCCGCGCTGCAGCGGAGGAGCTGCTGGCCCGGGCGGGCCGCGATGGCAGCTTCCTGGTCCGAGACAGCGAGAGCGTGGCGGGGGCCTTCGCACTCTGCGTCCTGTGAGTGGGGCAGGGAGGGGATCTGGGACACGGACGGTGTGACCTGAGTGGGGAGGGGGGCAGTGATTGAGTGGTGGGACACCAGCCCCGCCTCCACCCCCAGAGTTGGGGGCCTTGGCTTTATTCTAGGGCTCTTGGGGCTGAGGAAGGATACAGGGGGCATTTCCTTCCTGCTGTGTGTGAGGGAACTTTCTGGGGTTTTGAGGTCAGAGTATGTGGGGTTCTGCAGGCCAGGGTGATTGTGATGGGGAAAAATGCAGACAGTCCTTGGCAGACCCCTGCAGGCATGCCCAAGAAGAGGTGAGGATTTGGGTCCATGTTGTGGGCAGATCTGTTTGTGTAGGGATTGAGTTTAGGCAGAAGCAGCAGATTAGGGACAGAGGGACTGATGAGGGTATGTGTGAGGATGTCTAGCAACGTCCTTAGGGGTCCTTTCAATGCTCCCAAGAGAGGCACAGCTTGGGTTCTGGAGGGCTGTGTATGGCTGCGGGTGATGATGTGGTTGGTGTTGAGAAGACTTAGTGAGGCAGCTGGATGAGGCTTTATGAGACTGTGCCATTATTTCATGAATCAATGAGTAAGTGTGCCTGGTTCTGGGCTTGAGCCCCAGTTATCTGGCAGCTCTAGCCCTAAGCCATGAGTGCTGTGTGTGGAACTAGACTTGGCAGTTCTCTGAGTAGGCCTGGTCCTGTGCTGTACCTGTCAGCTCTGTGAATAGTAGGGTGGGGTGAGTCTGTACTTTCAGTTTTGCAGTTTTTTCCTTGACCCACAGTATGACACTAAGTGGACTTCTGTGGGCCTCTGGAGTGAGAAGTAATGACTGGGAAACTGTGAGGACTGTTTAGTTTAGATCTAGTTATGTTCTTCCTTGGTCCTATGAGCCCCCTACCCTTGTCCCTTTGTCCCTTCTTTTCCTTTTTGTTCTTATGACATCTTTGTGGGGACAGGGGAGGACAAATTGACTTAGACCAGGGAAGACATTTTTTTTTTTTTTTAAAGAGAGAGAGAGAGAGAATTTTTAAAAAATATTTATTTATTTATTTGTTTTAGTTTTCGGTGGACACAACATCTTTAATTGTATGTGGTGCTGAGGATTGAACCCAGCACCGCGTGCATGCCAAGCAAGCGCGCTACCGCTTGAGCCACATCCCCAGCCCCAAGGGAGACATTTTTGTTTGTTTGTTACAATAGGCTTGGTGCTATAGTCACCTAGTGTGTAGTAGCCAGAGGTGCTGCTAAACATGTGACAGTGTCCAAAACAGCCTCCTAAGGATTATGTGGTCCAAAATGTCAGTAGTGCAGAGGTTGAGAAACTCTGACCTAGGTACTTGATCGATGAGGGGTCCTATAGTCTCTGCTTTGCCTCAAGTCTGAGGCTCAGTACAGGGAGACTAAAGGACAGCTTAGACCCATGAATACCCTCAGTCCTGCCTCCCAGCCCCCTCTGAGGCATATCCCTTGTTAGGGAAGGGAAGGAGGCAGGTGCTGGGTCAGCTGTTGGGTGGGAGAGGACAGCTGGAGCTTGTGTTTGGGTGAGGAACATTATTGTCCCAGTAAGGGGAAAATCCTGGCTCCATTGTCAGGGGAAAGAATGGGTGGGGTGGGGGTCTGTCTATGTGTGGGGGCTTTGGCTTTGCCAACTGACTGATTGCTCCTTGAATCTCAGGAGACTGGGTAGGGATCAGAAATGGGTGGTTTCTTAGACTTCCCAAACAAATGCGTACTTGCTTACCTATATACATACCACGTGTACACAAATAACACTCGAGACACACTCCTACTCTGAAGGCTACAGGCAGTCTGACCTGCAGGCCAGGAAATGGGCCTTTCCTTCTGTTCTCATTTTAAATCCCAGTTCTGCCTTTTACTTGCTTAGGCAAATTACTTTTCCTTTTTGAGCCTTAGTTTTCTCATCTGTACAGTGTAGCTAATAATAATACCTGCCATTATTGTTATAAATATGGATCCACAGTCTACAAACTAACACACAGCACAAGCAGCCCCCGAGAACCCCTGACAGGTGCTGACTTAGGGGAAAGGGGTGGCCCTATGGCATTTGGTTCTCTCTGGGGCCAACAGCCCTTTCCTGCCCGCACATGCATAGGCCTGGTTGCCTTCTGAGGTGTGGAGGAAGAAGGCAGCTTTCCATCCCCCAGTGAGTATGTGCCTGGTTCAGCTGTCACCTGCTCAGCTGCTGCTGCTACCATCTGTCAGCACCCCTCTTGCCCCTCCTTGCCTTGGGGTTCCTAGAGGCTGGGTCTCCCATAGGGGGCCCCCTTGGGTTATCCCAGTTACCTGTTGTCTGGGGAACAGGGAAAAGCTCTAGGGTGGTGCTCCAATACTTCTCCAGAGAAACTGTCCTAGACACACAGACTCCAGTAGAGCCAGACACCAACATAAACACAGACAGAGGCTCACACGTGTGTTAGCACATTGCCCTGCACACATAGGCTAACTAGGCTTCTGAGGACTCTTACTCTGGCGGGGGGCCCAGACTGGTACTACAGTCCAGAGGGGCTATTTAGACACCTGTGGAGTCCACAAGAGAGTTGCCTGTTGCTTCCCAGGCCCTGTGGTGGGTGTGGAGTATGTAGGTCTTGGGGGGGAAGGGGGACTTGGTCATTTCAGTTATTGTTGGCAGCACTAGGAGGGTGGAAGTAGATTGGCCCCATCATTAACCCTATGGAGCCTGAGCAAGTGGTTTTAGAGGAAACCACGTTTAGGGAGCAGGGGGACTAGTAAGGGATGCTTTGGGATTAGACTCCAACTGGGGGATTTCAGGTTCTGATTTTTGCCTTGCCATCAGGTATCAGAAGCATGTACACACATACCGCATCCTGCCTGATGGAGAAGACTTCCTGGCTGTGCAGGTAGGAGCTCGGACCCCTGACTCCTGACCTTGATCCTTCCTGTGGCTTGGAGACCTGCTGGCTGACCCTTTCTCTCATCCTTTTTGGCCTGTAGACTTCACAGGGTGTGCCTGTGCGCCGCTTCCAGACCCTGGGCGAGCTCATTGGCTTGTATGCCCAGCCCAATCAGGGCCTGGTGTGTGCCCTACTGCTGCCTGTAGAGGGGGAGAGAGAGCCAGACCCACTGGATGACCGTGATGTCTCAGGTACAGCCTCATGTGCAGTGTGCACATCCCTTCCTTGTCTCCTCCCTGACTCTACCTGGTTCTTTCCCTCTCCGCTTTGCAACCCTCTCTTTCCTTTCTCGTAATTGTGTTGCACTTCCCTTTACTCCCTTTTCATGGAAGTCTCTGACAGCTATGGCTTCCTCTCTGCCATATACCACTGAGGGACAGAGGCCCAAAGTGCTCCTCCATTGACCTCTGTCCCACAGATGGGGAGGATGAAAAGCCCCCACTGCCCCCGCGCTCTGGCTCTACCAGCATTTCTGCCCCCACGGGACCTAGCAGCCCCCTGCCAGCCCCTGAGACTCCCACAACTCCAGCTGCTGAGAGGTGAGATGCCCCACCCCCCACGCACAACCTCTCTGCTGAGCAGGAAGTTCTTTCTCTTTCATGAGAGGTGAGAAGACCACCTGAGCTCCCTGGGGCACCCATCTCATCTCAACCCTGACCTGTTCTATTCTGCCACTAGTACCACCTTCTGTAGGGACAAGGTGTGGGGTAGCTGGAACAGTGTCAGCAGGACCTCTACCAACTTTTAACCTCTCCCTGAAGCGCTCCCAATGGGCTGAGCACCATTTCCCATGAGTATCTGAAGGGCAGCTACGGGCTGGACCTGGAGGCTGTGCGGGGCGGAGCCAGCAACCTGCCCCACCTCACCCGCACTCTTGCCACCTCCTGCCGGAGACTGCACAGGTACTGCACATCTGATCCTCTGCACCACACTCTTACCCTTAACAGTGAACCAGCCACTGTCTCCTGATTTCCTCACCTGTCCCCTTGTGTCCTCAAACTGAAGGAGAAAGCACCACCCTCAGCTGCCCTGAGCTTTAGCTTGGGGTGGGGAATTCTAAAATGGTATTTCCCCTAGTGAGGTGGACAAGGTCCTGTCGGGTCTGGAGATCCTGTCCAAGGTGTTTGACCAGCAGAGCTCGCCCATGGTGACTCGCCTTTTACAGCAGCAGGTGAGATTGTAGGGAGGCCCTGGGAGCTGGGCTCAGTTCTGGAGTTGATTGGGGGCTTCAGCCTAAAGGGCTTCATCTACAAGCCTTATTCTTTCTCCCAGCAGAACTCATCACAGACTGGGGAACAGGAACTAGAGAACCTGGTACTGAAGTTGTCAGTGCTAAAGGACTTCCTGTCAGGCATCCAGAAGAAGGTAGGCTGATTCCCCTCTACTCCCTGACCTTTGAGTTGCTGACCACTCTCCTTGGCTGAGCCTCGATCTCAACTTTGAAGCTATAACTTAGCCCTGACCCAAACATCAGCCATACCCCTCTCTGCCTTAGCCCTGAGTATGCCCCCAACCTCACCTTGCCCTTGGCCCCTCCAGGCCCTGAAGGCACTACAGGACATGAGTTCCACAGCACCTCCAGTTTCGCTGCAGCCATCTACACGTAAGGCCAAGACCATACCTGTGCAGGCCTTTGAGGTACATGGCAGGTGGGGGGCCTCATGGGTCAAGGGGCAGTTGAAGGTGAAGGAGACGCTGCCTTCCTCAAGGTCTTATCAGCAGCCTCTCTATTTCCTGTCTTGCAGGTGAAGCTGGATGTTACCTTGGGTGACCTGACCAAGATTGGAAAGTCACAGAAGTTTACGCTGAGCGTGGATGTGGAAGGTGGGCGGCTAGTGCTGCTTCGGAGACAGCGGGACTCCCAGGAGGACTGGACGACCTTCACACATGACCGAAGTGAGCCAGGGCAAGACCTGCGAGAGATGGGTAGGGTGAGGCCCTTGGTCTGGAGGGCACAGGCTTGTGTGACCTGTCTTCTGTCTCCTAGTCCGCCAGCTCATTAAGTCCCAGCGTGTCCAGAACAAGCTGGGTGTTGTGTTTGAAAAGGAGAAGGACCGGACCCAGCGCAAGGACTTCATTTTCGTCAGTGCCCGGGTGAGTGGCAGGCTGGGCCAGTACACTGGGGGATGCTGGGGTCTCCAGATGGGTGTCTCCCATTGGGTAGGAAGAGAGGGAACACATGGTGTGGGCATGTCATCCCTCCTGGCAGGGATGGGCCTGACAGGGTAGAGAGGTTATTAAGAATAGGTGGCCTGAGGGATGATTCAAATATTCAGTGAACATTTACTTAGCACCTGTTACATTCTTGAGCAGTGGATGTACAGTGGGCAACCAGACAATGACCTTCTCTCATGGTATTTACCATCTAGTGGAGTATCCTTGTGGGAAGGGGGTTCCTGGCTGCCTATTTGCTTTTGACTGACTGCTGTTCCCCCAGAAGCGGGAAGCCTTCTGCCAGCTGCTGCAGCTCATGAAGAATAAGCACTCCAAGCAAGACGAGCCTGATATGATCTCTGTCTTCATAGGCACCTGGAACATGGGTCAGGCCCAGGCTGGGACTGGGATGGGAGAGGGGAATGGCCCCAGGGCAGGGGCCTGACCCTCCCACCCACTGCCTCATCCCCTCCATCTTCAGGAAGTGTGCCACCTCCAAAAAATGTGACATCTTGGTTCACATCAAAGGGTCTGGGGAAGACCCTAGATGAGGTCACAGTGACCATACCCCATGACATCTATGTCTTTGGGACCCAGGAGAACTCAGTGGGCGACCGAGAGTGGCTGGACCTGCTGCGTGGGGGCCTCAAGGAGCTTACAGATTTGGATTACCGCCCGGTGAGGGGGTTATCTTGTTAGTCCCCTGTCTTCATAAACCACCCCAGACTTTTCCTGCTTGACATCATGGGCACCCTGGGGAATGTAGCACTCTGATTTTTTCCTCTGGCCTTGGGCATATCCTTTGGGAGGTCTCATATGAGTCCTTCATGTCACGGGAGGCCCATTTCTCTTTGGTCCTTCAGGAAAAGGGGTAGGAGGTCTTCCTTTCCCATGACTGACAAGGTGCCAGGGCAGGGGGAATGTGGACAGGGTCCCAGCCCAGGATAAGGGTGACTCCACACCCTCTACCTAGATTGCCATGCAGTCGCTGTGGAACATCAAGGTGGCTGTGCTCGTCAAGCCAGAGCATGAGAACCGCATCAGCCATGTCAGTACATCCAGTGTGAAAACTGGCATCGCCAACACCCTGGGTGAGCAGGGCAGGCAGGTTCCTGAAGTGGTGGGGTCCCTGTGTTCATGCTTTCTGCCTCCTCTCCAGCCCAGAGTCTCCCCCTTTTTGGCAGTCTCAGCTTTCTCATATATAGGGTGCTTTGAACTTTGTAAAGCATATTCATATTTAAAATCTCTTCCAGCCCCACCAGGAAGGCAAGGCCAGGATAATTATCCCCATTTCATAGATGATAAAATTCAAACCCAGAGTGGTTGAATTCCAAGGTCACTCAGCAAATAAGTAGGGGAGCTAGGCATAGTGCTCAGGTCTTCTGATTAGCAGTCCAGGGCTCTTGCAAGATAGATTCTTCTGAGAACCTACAGGACCTTTCTGTTGCACCCTCGGGATCTCTTGTGATTCCAGGGGCTCTGCTCACATAGAGTAAGGCCATCCAGACAGACTGCAGGTCCCCGAGAAGGATCCCCAGGGAAGGTGTGGGTGTGTGTTCAGGGGCTGTCTGCTTCACAGCACCTGAGGATTGGGATAGGAAGCATCCTCTCATTGCTGCTTTGAGGGATAGAGGGGAGAGTTGGTAGTCCTCTGTGGGTGATCAGGCCTTCCTCTTCCGTTTCCCTCACAGGGAACAAGGGAGCCGTGGGTGTCTCCTTCATGTTCAATGGCACCTCATTTGGCTTTGTGAATTGCCATCTCACCTCGGGAAATGAGAAGACTGCCCGGTGAGGGCACCTTCCCCATACTCTTGAGGGAGGTGGGCTCCCATGTAACAGCTTCCCCATAGTCTTTCCTACATCCTTTAGTCACATGAAACTCTTTTCTTCTCCCACATCCTATCCCCAGAGACCCCCTTCTCCTGTTTCCCAGCTGAAGACTTCTTGGTCTACTAAAACTGACCTTATACTTAGCTTCTCCCTCTGGCCCCAGGGAATTGATCCCTATGGTATCCCTGACCCCAGAGTCTTCCTGCCTTTATGCCCATCTCTCATTCCTGACCCTGGGGACCTGTTCCTGGCTTCTTACTATAGGCGGAACCAGAACTATCTGGACATCCTGAGGCTGCTCTCGCTGGGTGACCGGCAGCTCAGTGCATTTGACATCTCTCTGCGTTTCACTCACCTCTTCTGGTTTGGGGACCTCAACTATCGCCTGGACATGGATATCCAGGTTCCAGCAGGGCCCCTGCCTATGGCTGTAGGGAGGCTAGGGGCCTCGAGAGCTGTCACCAGCTCTGCTCAAGAGACACACCTTCAGCCTCTCTGTCCCCCACCCCAGGAGATACTGAACTACATCAGCAGGAAAGAGTTTGAGCCTCTGCTCCGGGTAGACCAGCTCAACTTGGAGCGGGAAAAGCACAAGGTTTTCCTTCGGTTCAGTGAGTAGGGATCCAGTAGGTGGGCCTGGGGATCTGGGGGCTTGGGACATTCCTGGGTTTTCAGGGCCCTGAGTCCCATCTGTGCCCTGCTTCCTTAGGTGAGGAGGAGATCTCTTTTCCACCCACTTACCGCTATGAGCGGGGTTCCCGGGACACATATGCCTGGCACAAGCAAAAGCCAACTGGAGTGAGTGGAAAAAAAAAATGGCACGAGGACCCTCCAAGATTGCAGTGAAACAGGAGCACGTGGGAGATAAAGGGTCTTGGGCCTCTGTAGTTACCATTGTAGCTTACGTGGCCTTCCTGAGGCCTTTGGGGGTGTTTCTGGGTATTGTGGGAATCCACGGAGGAAGGTGGGACCCAGTGTAACAGAAATGGGGGGGTCTCATCAGCTCTGGGTGGAGCCCATGCTGAGAAACTCCCAGCTGTCATCTCTGACCACACTACTGTCCCCTGCCCCAGGTCCGGACCAACGTGCCCTCATGGTGTGACCGGATTCTATGGAAGTCCTACCCTGAAACCCACATCATCTGCAATTCCTATGGTCAGAGCCTCCCAGACAGGGTGATGGGAGGTCTTGGGTGGTCACTGTCCTGACTCAGCCCTAGTTTCAGGAGGTAGGAACAGAGAGTAGAGATGTTTCCCTTGAGTCCCCATTCCTATTCTCCCACCCAGGTTGCACTGATGACATTGTCACCAGCGACCATTCCCCTGTGTTTGGGACATTTGAGGTTGGAGTTACCTCTCAGTTCATCTCCAAGAAAGGTGACTGTTTTGAATGTGGTTGTAGATGTGGCAATGTTGGGTGGGTGTAGGTAGTGACCTGGGGATGTGTGCAGATGGATTGTACACAAGCCTATGTGTGTGTTTGTGTGTAAATGTGAGTGGAGGAGTGTTTCTGAATGGGTGATATGTGAGGGTGTCTGGGTGCCTGGGTCCTCATGAGAGTTGCCAGCCCTGAGTGGTCAGTTATACATATTTGTCTGTATCTGCAGGTCACATGTGAGCCTGCAAATGTGCTTGGAGGTGTGGCATTTTGTTGGCAAACCAGCCCATAGGCATTCTTGTCTCTAGCTCCCTTTGACAGGAGTTTTTCATCCTTTGGTTCTTTTTGCCTTGGTCTAGGGTCTGGGTTTTGGGGTCTATCTGTTGGTAGGTTAGGATTGAAAGGCACCTATTGGCCTTGCCTCTTGCTCTGCCAAGGCCCCTAATTCCCTGTTCCGGGGCTCAGCCTTTCTGTCTCATTCTTTCTGTGATCCTCTTATACCCTCTTCGCCCTTCTGTCTGCAATTCCTTCCTTGTCCCTTAGGGCTCTCGAAGACTTCAGACCAGGCCTACATTGAGTTTGAGAGCATCGAGGCCATTGTGAAGACAGCCAGCCGCACCAAGTTCTTCATTGAGTTCTATTCCACTTGCCTGGAGGGTCAGAGACAGGGCCCAGGGCTGGGTGTAGGCCAAGAGGGATGGGAGGCCAGAGCTGCCCAGACCTGCCTTCAGCTTGGGGGGAAGGGAAACTGGAAGGTGGTTCTCAGTTGGTTTTCCCCACTCCCACCCCAGAGTACAAGAAGAGTTTTGAGAATGATGCCCAAAGCAGTGACAACATCAACTTCCTCAAAGTGCAGTGGTCTTCACGCCAGCTGCCCACGGTGAGGCTGCAGGCAGGGCCTAGGCCAGTGGACGAGGGCACAGAGAAGAGTGAGGCAGAACCCTGGGGGAGGCTGCCTGGGAGGGAGGCTGGGGCTGGCAGTGTGCATGGGGGGGCTGGGCAAGAGAGAATAAGAGCATTTGCTTTATCTAGGGTTATAGAACCAAGTTGTAGATTGTTCATTCATTTGTTCCATAAACAGTTCTTGAGACTCTGCTAAATGTCAGGCCGTTGAGGATGCAGAAAATTAATTAATACAGTGATGTTAAGTGATGAAAGGCCCATTACAGATCTGAGAGCTTTCCTTAAGAGCTAGGTATGAGTGAGCATGAATAAGCCTGAGGGCAGGGGTGAGTTGTATCAGGGCCAGCATGTGGGAGGGGTCCAAGGGTGGTTGAGACTTTGTTCCACATCCAGCCTTTCTGTTGCCCAGCTCAAGCCCATTCTGGCTGACATTGAGTACCTGCAAGACCAGCACCTTCTGCTCACAGTCAAGTCCATGGATGGCTATGAATCCTATGGTAAGGAGTCAGGGTAGCTGAGGGGTATAAGAAATCAGGCAGGCCCTAGAAAGTTTTGATAATCTGTGGTCTGTCCCATCTGCCCTTCAGGGGAATGTGTGGTTGCACTCAAATCCATGATTGGCAGCACAGCCCAGCAGTTTTTGACCTTCCTGTCCCATCGCGGCGAGGAGACAGGCAATATCCGTGGCTCCATGAAGGTGCGGGTGCCCACGGAACGCCTGGGCACCCGTGAGCGGCTCTACGGTGGGGGTTCCATTGGGAAGGGTATGGGCAGGTATAGGAGGGGAGGACCCAGGGTGGGTGGAATCCTGGGATGCTTGAGGTTCTACAGTCATTGGAGTGATCCTGCTGGAAGGGGCTGGCAGACCTAGATGGTTTTTCTGGGATCTAGGATCCCAGATCCCCTCTGAGCCTCCCTTCCCTATACCCTCAGAGTGGATCAGCATTGATACGGATGAGGCTGGAGCAAAGAGCAAAGGCCCGTCTGTGTCCCGAGGCAGCCAGGAATCCAGGTGAGCTAGGGCTATGTTGGGTGTCACCTGAGGGGGTATCTGGGGGCTGCTGGAGGGCCCCACTCATCTCTCCCTGGCAGGTCAGGGAGCCGCAAGCCAGCCTCCACAGAAGGCTCCAGCCCATTGTCCAAGTTATTTGAAGAGCCAGAGAAACCACCGCCAACTGGGAGGCCCCCAGCCCCGCCCCGAGCAGCTCCCAGGGAGGAGCCCTTGAACCCCAGGTAAGAGGAGGAATCTGTTATCTCTCCCCACCCACTCTATCCATTACTATGATTGGCTCTCAGGGCTAATCTGGGGATTCCCTTCTGTTTGGTTGCTCTGCCATTCCATGGGCAGAAGTACGGCTTCTGAGGGTATGGCATCCTGAAGGTATGGCTGTGAGTCAAAGGGAGCATAGGCAGCCTGTCCTCTCAGTTTTCCCTTAAAAGTGACATAGAAATTGTTTTTAGAGGGGCTGGGGCTGTAGCTTAGTGGTAGAGCACTTGCCTAGCATGTGTGAGGCTCTGGGTTCGATCCCCAGCACCCCATAAAAATAAGTAAAATAAGATATTGTGTTCATCTACAACTAAAGAAAATATAAAAAAAAAAAGAAAATAAATTGTTTTTAGAATAGTTCTGTCTGTGTAATCAGACACAGTTCAAGCCTTCAGTTTGGAGAAGGAACAGGGTTCAGCAAGGGATTTCTCAGGGTGCATGTTATGGGGCCCTATCCTACACAAGGCTTCACTGGAGAAAGGTGTGTGGTCAAGTGAATTTGGAAATACTTTTTGGTAGATTTTTTTCTTAGATATTTCCAGTGCACATTAGTATTAGTAAATGCTACAAGCACGTGGACAGGAAGGAAAACTCTCTCCAATTCTTTTTAATATAGTTTCCTAAACTTAATGGGTGGGGATACTTCTTTTCCACATAATAACTTCTAGGGGATATAGCTCAGTTGGTAGAGTGCTTGCCTTGCATGCACAAAGTCCTATACCAGCACAAACAAACAAACAAAAAACAAACCCCACATAATAACTTCTAACGCCTGGGTAACTAGTAGACTATGGGTCATACTTAGGGAAAACCAGGCTAGCTTTCTTTCTTGCCTTTTTTTTTTCCCCCTTGGTACTAGGGATTGAACCTAGGGGCATTTGACCACTCAACCACATCCCCAGGCATACCCCCAGCCCTTATTTTTTATTTTGAGATAGGGTCTCACTAAGTTGCTTAGGGCCTCTTTTCTGTTTTTGCAATGTGAAGGTTTGAACCTAGGACCTTGCACATACTAGGCAAGTACTTTACCATGAACTATAACCTTAGCCCTTTTTTTCCTATTAAAAAAAATATTATATATATATTAGTTGTCGTTGGACACATACCTTTATTTTATTTATTTGTTTTTATGTGGTGCTGAGTATAGAACCCAGCTAGGCGAGCACTCTACCACTGAGCCACAACTCCAGTCCCTTTTTCTTATTTTTTAATTGGTATATTATAATTATGCATAGTAGTGGAATTCATTGTTATGTATTTATACATGCACACAATATAACAATATAATTTAGTCAGTTTTGTTCCCCAGTAGCCAGCCAGCCTTGCTTTTAAACTTTTTTTTTTTTTATTTGTTCTAATTTGTTATACATGACAACATAGACTTGCTTTTTAATGGTACCTACTCATTGCTTGAAGGTACATAAAACTCCTAGGTTCAGTTTGGTTCTTTTTCTGTCATCTCCAGTTATTTTCAGTCACCTTGGTTTTATTCTCCAGCTTGAGTAAAACCAGCCTGAATACCTGAGTGAGATTCCACAGTAGGTCAACTACAGAGGCTTCAGCAGCTCTTTCAAAGTTTCATTGGTCATTCTCATCAGAGGCCTTTTACTGCCTTGTCTTCTGACATCTCTGTTGTTATCATTTGAGTTCAGTTTCCACAGTTACAAAGTCATAAAAGATCTAAGAATCTGAACAAGTGAGCAAGGCAGTTTAGGGTTATGCCTTCAACACCTCATTTACTTCCAAATTTAGAGATGATGAAACCCAGGGCAGTAGAGGATAAGTGATTTGCTCAATGTCATCTTCTTTTGCCAGTTCCCCCATGGCACCATTGGGTTTCTGGGTCCTGACTAAGTTATCCTGCTCCTAAACCCAGGTTGAAGCCAGAGGGGGCTCCTGAGCTGGAAGGGGTGGTGGCCCCCGCACCCAAGAACAGCTTCAATAATCCTGCCTACTACGTCCTTGAAGGGGTCCCACACCAGCTGCTGCCCCTGGAGCCACCCTCACCTGCCAGGGTTCCAGTCCCACCTACCACAAAGAACAAAGTTGCCATCACAGTGCCTGCTCCACAGCTTGGACGCCACCGGCCCCCTCGGGTGGGAGAGGGGAGTTCATCAGATGAAGACTCTGGGGGTACTCTGCCCCCTCCAGATTTTCCACCTCCACCACTGCCAGACTCAGCCATTTTCCTGACCCCCAACCTGGATCCTTTGTCAGTACCAGGGGTCCGGGGACGCAGTGGAGGTGAGGGCCGAGGCCCACCACCTCCCAAAGCCCATCCAAGGCCCCCACTACCCCCAGGCCCCTCATCTGCCAGCACTTTCCTAGGGGAGGTAGCAAGTGGGGATGACCGGTCCTGCTCAGTACTGCAGATGGCCAAGACTCTAAGTGAGGTGGATTATGCTCCTGCTGGGCCTGGACGCTCAGCGCTTCTCCCAAGCCCCTTGGAGTTGCAGCCACCCCGTGGACTGCCCTCCGACTATGGCCGGCCCCTCAGCTTCCCTCCACCCCGCATCCGGGAGAGCATCCAAGAGGACCTAGCGGAGGAGGTGTGTGGACCAGGGCTGGTTGTCTGTACCTGAAGAGTGTGCCTGCCCATCACTATGGTGTCTTTTCCCTCCACTATACAGCACTCACTGGTTTCCCCTCTGCCCTGAGCTGAGTACTGGAGGGTTGGGGGACACGTAAATCAGCCCCAGATTTTGCCTCCCTTTCCCGGGTAGAATGTGGCTGTCTTGAAGGTTTTTCTGGGGGTGCACTCTTAGTACTCCCCTTAACTTGCCCTATTTCATCAGGCACCGTGCCCGCAGGTCGGGCGGGCCGGCGGCCTGAGTGAGGCAGGTATGGGTGCCTGGCTGCGGGCCATCGGCTTAGAGCGCTATGAGGAGGGCCTGGTGCACAATGGCTGGGACGACCTGGAGTTTCTCAGGTGGGGGCGGGGCTAGAGCCGGATAGGGTGGGTGTCTGTCCCCGGGGGTAGAGCTGTGGGCCCTTTAGGACCCTCTATCCCAGATCCTAGCCTTTCTTGCCCCCACAGTGACATCACAGAGGAAGACCTGGAGGAGGCTGGGGTGCAGGACCCTGCTCACAAGCGCCTCCTTCTGGACACATTGCAGCTCAGCAAGTGACAGCGGAGGCTCGGCAAAGCCGCCAACTCGGCGCCTCTCCCCTGCTACGAAGGCTGGAGTAGCTAGCCCCTGGCTAGAAAATTCTGAGGGGGTGGGGCAATATCTTTCTGCCTATTTATTGGGGAATCCGCATTCCCCACTGCCCAGTCATTTGGAATGCCCTAATTAGGACATCCTGCCCCTCCCTTTTAGGCCCAGGGCTGCAGAGGTCTGTAGCCTGCAGTGTGCAGTCCTATTTTTCTAGACCCCTCTTCTCAGCCCCAGGGGTGCAAATGGGGTATAGTTGTACATCTGGGCCCCAACTTTCATCACTGTTTTCTGCTGCCCTCCCCCGAGCCTGACCCACAGGTGGGACCTCCCCCTAATTTCTGCAGGGGCATCCGTCCGGAAATGAAGGAAGAGCCCGAGGATCGGGCTGGGGTTTATTTAAACTATGTGTGGGTTTGGGGAGGGAGGGCACTTTATTATTATGGGTGGTGGCGGGGGGCAGGACCTCGACCATAAAGTGCTAGTTTGCTTAGTTCTCAATTCTCCTGGTCTGTAACACCCTGCGCTAGGAATGCGTGGTGGCCATGAAGGGAGAGAGGGCCCCTTGCTGGCTTCAACCGCAACGGGGTCAGGGTTCTTGCAAGCAGCCTAGTCTTACTCTGCACCCTCAGAAGGGTTGCCAGCGTTGATGTCTTCAATAAATTAAGTTTTATTTGGATTGAGCAAAATCACCTCAATAAATTACAAGTTTTTCAAAGAAAAAGAGCAACAAAATTAGGAAAAAGGAAACCCCTTAGTCCTTTTTCCCAGATAGCCCCGTCCCTCCCCCGCCCCCAATAGGTCCACCCTCCGCCAGGGACCCGCCAGGGATGAGAGGGGACGCTTAAGGAGCGAATTGGCGGTGGGACCCTTCAGGGGGCTGATTATCCCAGCTAAACCAGACTTTGCACTGGTGGGGTCAGTGCAGGTGGGTCTAAGGATGGGGCAGCAGGCACACATGGTCACCAAGGTTAGGAGTGACCCGGCCAGTTCCAAAGAGTGGGCAGCGTTTGTCCGTAGGGACTCTTGTTAGGAGGAGGCGTTATTTGATCTCCAGAGAAAGCCAAGCTTAGAAGGGGTCCTCGGCTCTCCTCTAAGGGTTCCCAGTGAAAAATACTCTGGTCTGCCTGGTGCGAGTGGACGAGAACGAGAGTGGCCCGGACTTGGTCTCTAAAGCTGGGGAGGGCACACCTAGGGGTCAGACACTGTAGGGGAGTGGGGACAGGATAGGGAGGGTCTCCGTTGGGTCCCGGAGGGGCAAGGGTTGCCGCTGGGGGCAGGCTCGGAGCCTCCAAAGACCCGCGGCTAGAAGAGATTGGTCTTCAGGGCGGGGCCGGGTTTCCGGTGAAAAGAGGACAGAACTCCCGAGAAGGGCCCGGGCCCGGGCTCGGCCGGCTGCCAGGCTTTGAGTAGCTCAGCCGCTCCCGCGCCAGGCCCGCCACCCCCACCGCCCGCCACGCCCGCCCACAAAGCTCCTTTAAGCGGCTGGGGTCCGGGCCCCGGCCCCGGCCCGGAGCCCAAGGCAGTGGGCAGGGGGCTGGGGCTCAGGCGTGGGCTGGCCAAGCTGGGCGCCGGCGGTGGTGGCAGCGACGCGGTGCTGTCGGGCGTGGGGCTGCACGTGGACTCCTTGGAGTCGTCGTCCTCCGACGAGCAGCGCGCCTCGCCCTTTTTGGCGCCCGTTGCGCCTGCAGCGCCCTTGGCGCTGGCCGCTCGCTCCTGTTTTCGGAACTTGGCCCGGCGGTTCTGGAACCAGACCTGTAGGCACAGGGGCCAGTTAGTCTGGACGTCGTAGAGCACACCAGGTCAGCCCCCGACCGCAAAACGCAGGAGAGACATTGGTGGAGAGAGAGAGACCTCCGCCGAGAAAGGTCTGACCGGATTATTTACCAAGTCGGGGAGATCCACAGCCTTCCTAGCGTTGGCCTCTCGACCCTCCACCCGTCGACCCGTCGTTTTCTCCACTCTCTTCTCCACTTGCCCCATCCTCTAGATCCTTGGGTTTTTGCCCTTCGGATATGCTCACCCGCGGACTCCGCTGCCTCCCCGTATACTTGGTCTCCTGGACCGGGCTCTGCCTTCACTCTCCTCACCCTGAGCCCTGCCTCCCAATTCCCTCTTAGGAAGGTGGACATTCCGTCTGGAGCGTCCTAGGGCCGTGAAAAGCGGCTTGGGACGCCAGGGAAACCTTTTGTTCAGACCCTTCAGTCAAAACCGGCCAGAGGAACATCTGCACACAGGATTTGTAAGCCCTGGCCCGGCTCTCTTCTGCCCTGCACCAGCCCCAAGCTCAGTATTTCACACTGGGGAGGACACCTGGAATTGCTGACTGGTCTGCCCCGGCTCCTCCATGGGATGGATCTCCTTCTACCCCCTCGCAGCATGCATCCTGGCTTCTAAAATTTCTGAACCTTCAGCCATAGACAGGGCTGAGACTGAGGGGAAAACGAAGGCAAAGCAACATGGGGTTAAACAGCTCCTGTTTCTCAAGAGCCTCCAAGTCCTGGCCCCTCTGCCCTCCCTGGATACCCAACCACACCCAGGCTGTGCCCTGGTCACTGGTCCTAGATCCTTGCTTCCAGGCTGCGGTTATCCTTGGCCCCTAAGTGTCCAATACTAATTTCCCGCACTCCCTCCACAAGAACACGCGCGCACACACACGTGCATATACGTACCTGCACACGAGCCTCAGTAAGATCGATCTTGAGCGCCAGCTCCTCGCGCGTGTAAATGTCGGGGTAGTGGGTCTCGGCGAAGACGCGCTCCAACTCCTTGAGCTGCGCGCTAGTGAACGTGGTGCGGATGCGCCGCTGTTTGCGCTTCTCGTGCAGGCCGGACGGCTCCGGGAAGAACTTGTAGGGCACTGCGGGTGTGTGCAGGAGGGCAGGGGCAACGAGGGTGTAGGGCGGCGGTGAGAGGCCAAGCTCAGTCCTGCCCTAGAAGGAATCCTGCCACCACCACCACCCCAGTCTGTCCCCTCGGTTTCATCCTTGTAATCTCAGGTCAAGGGTCCCTATTGGTCGATGGAGGTGGGGTGGGGGGTGAAGAGGAACTCAGATCAAGGACACCTGGGGTTCAGGAGCTGCTTGGAACCAAACCAGAATTCCTTCCTCCAGTCAAGGCTCATCGACCTGTCAGTTAGCCCTGGACACCATTTCACTCCTCTCTGACCCTTTCATCAGTGTATCAGTGTATCTGTTTCTCAGCTGGTCCGCTTCTCTGACTTCAAGTTCTGCTCTGTCCACACTGGCCCTGGATGTCTGGCAGCTTTCTGCTTTCTAGGACTCCCCACTAGCCAGTCCTGGGCCTTGACTCTGTCACTGAGACTCTCCTGCCAGGTCTACTTCACTCTGATACTGGCGCTCTTCCGTGTACAGATTTGGTTCCTTCTATCCCTCAAACCCATTTCTCCCCATCCAGGGTTCATTTCCTTAGCCCTGCCTCACTCACATCTTTGGTCTCCATTCTTCTCCAGGTATCCCCCTCTCCTCTTCCTCATCTTCATCCTCCTCCATGGGAAACCCTCAATTTTCCCCTTTTGTGACACTCTTCTGTACCCATTAAGAAGGGTGATTATTTTTTCCACCCAAGTTCCTCTATCTTCTTTGCTGTTCTTCCTCACAGTCTCTGTGTCCCATATTCCCTAAATCCTGTCCCACCATTCTCCCTCACTCTTTCTATACTCCATCCCAGTCTCTACTGCCTCATAGACAGTATCTCTGCATCCCTGACTCTAACTCTGGTTTAGTTCTCTATATATTCCTGGGGGTCCCCTATCTCCATTTTTGTTCCATTTCTCCTGGTCCCCATTTTCCCTAATCCTTATCTCCAACACCCCATTCCTATCCCCATCTTCGTCATCTCTGTTTCCTATCCCTTCTGGTCTGTCTCCCATAATTCCTGATACCATCCCCTGGTTCTTATCTCCATCTCCAATCATCCCCAATCTCCCCATTTATGTTCTCATCTCTCTATGCCTAATCCCCATTGTCCCAGTCTCAGATCTTCATCTTTCTGGAGCCCATCTGCCCATTTCCTGTCCTCCTCATCCCGATCATCCTCATCTGGCCCACTGTACCTATCTCCCCATCCTCGTTCTAGTCTCTGGTGGCATCTCCTTGGTTCTTATTTTCCCCAATCCTGGTACTTATTCACCCCCCGCCTCAGGCTCTAGTCTTCTATTTGGGTTCCTGGTGGTCTTCCCAGGAGGCAAGAAAATAAGACTGGGTGGGGCAGGCTGGGACTCTAACTGAAAAAATAGGAATGTCTGAAAAGCTCAGTGAGGTTGAGGGTTCAGAGAGAGACTTGGATCAAAGGGCTTGGGAGTGCAGGAGGGGCTCCTGGGGTTCTGTAGGACTTTAGCTGGGAGAATCTGGGGTGGGGGAGAGGGGAAATAAAAGTGGCTTAATGACCCCCCCCCCCCCCCGCCCGTGGCTAGGGAAATAGATTTTGGGGATGCAGAATGTCTGGGCCAGAGCAGGATGGGTCTAAGAGAGGGCAGGAAGAATCTGATGGTGCTATGGCTCTAGGAAGATTCCTATCTGGACAGCTAGCTGCCTCAGGAGTCCTCGTTGGGGGTCGCGCAACACCGTGGGGCAGGGGTGATAAGGATGGGGATCTGAGCGGACTGAACTGGGATCCTCTTACAGGGATACAGTGGATGGAGACGTTTGGTGGTCAGCTTTTGCAGGTGGGGAGGGGAGGGCCTGGAAAGGGGCACGGAGCTATTTCTTTGATCCGAAGAGATTTGGCAGCGAGGAAGAGGACCGAGAGGGGCGTTAGGGTGGGGTTCATCCCTGCCGAGAGGAACCTGGTATTACTGAGGGTCTCACGGGGCGTTGGAGGGTCTGTCCAGGTCAGGGAAGGGGGAGTCTGTGGGAGGCAGTCGCATTTGCTTGACGAGTAGGTCATGGACTGCGGGTTCCTCAGGATTTGGAGAAAGGGTTGGGTCGGGCTGAGCTCACCTGCCGAATAGGGCGCGGGCTGGTGGTCGCGTAGGGCGCCAAGCGCGCAGTTGGAGGAGCCGAGCGCGGGGCAAGGTGGCCCCGCTGTGGGGAAGGCAGGCCGCAAGGGGCTGTACTGGAAGCCGCTGGGCTGGCTGCAGGCGCCGAAGTCGCCGTAGGCGGACGCCTCCATGGCCGCCACGCACGAGTCGTACGAATTGAGGTAGGAGTAGTCCATGGACCCGGAGGGGGCGGGGGCGGGGGCCGGGCCGGGTCGGGGTCGGGGTCCCGGGCCAGGTGGAGGTCGGGATGGAGGTTCGAGCGCCAGACGCCAAGGACTGGAGGCCGGCTCTGGGAACTCAAAGCCCGCCCGCCCCGTCGCGGCCGCACTGTGCCCGGGTGCAACGCAAGTGCAGCTGGCGGGTCCGCGCGCCTTTTAACGCGCAGGACCCCGCGGAGGGGGCGGGGCGGGGCGAGCTCCGCGGGGCGGGGCCTGGGCATCCCAGACCCCGCCCCTATTTACCCCGACCCCCACCCCAAAGAGTCTCTGCAGCCTCTTAGGACTCCAGAGGTGCAGGGTGGGGCTGCATGGGACCCCATCACCAGAGTCCCCATCCTGTCCCAATCCGGCCCAGACCTTCGGTCTCTACACATCGTGCCAAGTCAGGGGGTACCGACCTCTTTCCTGGGCCTCCCCACCTGCGGCCCTGCAGAAGCGAGGGGAGGCAGGCCCCGCTGCCTCGGTGTGAAGAAGTTAATTCAATTCGCCTCAATAACCGAGTTAGATCTGGCCGGCCCCTCAGTCCCGCCCCCAGCGCGGTCCCATCCCGGCGGGAACTGCGGAGGCTGCCCTGAAGGGGGGATGGAGGCAAGGATGGAAAAGAGATGGAGCCTGGGACGCGGACGGGCAGGGATGAGGGTAAAGAGAGGAGGCAGAGACGCAGACCGGGAGAGAAAGGGGCAGAAACCATGACAGAGACAGGGGACAAGAGAGACAGATAGAGGTAAACAGATGGAGATAAGATTGAAACATACAAGAGAAAGGTAGGGCTGGAGATGGGGACAGGCAGAGACAGAGACCAAGACTAGAATGGGGGGGGGGAAGGGAGAGGAGACGGGAAAGAGAGTGAGACAAGCACAGAGATAGAGAATGGTTAGGGATAAGACCTAGACGGCGAGGCGACCGGATTGCGATGGAGAGCGGGAGAGAGATGAGACAAAACAGGGACAGTCCTAGTGAGACAGAGACGCAAACAGAGGGATGGTCTCAGAGCTACAAGGCCAGGGACAGACTGGCGGAGTAACAGAGACTGAGAGGCGCAGAGAAAAAGCCTCCAGAGAGCTGAGACCTCCGAGCTGGAGCGCCGAGGAGGCCGAGGCATTTTGATGGAGGCGCTGCCGGGCTGCCCTTCGCGGGGCTGAGGAGGGGGAAGGTCTTGGGCCGAGTTCTCTGCCCGACTTTTTCCCCACCCGAAGGCTGCACGAACCTGCACCATCAGGGCCCAGCCTGCCTCTCCCTCCCGGTTTCTTCAGATCGGTCCCCCTCCCCGCGCTGCACCGCCTGGTGTGACCTCTGGGTTCGGGGTGTGTGTATGATGGATGTCTGGCTGAGGGAATGACCCAGTGACCCCTTTCCTCTCCTTCAGTCTCTCACCCCTCTCTTCCAGAGGCCCTTTTCTTCTCCAGCAAGACCTAGTAGACTCTTTCTGTCCCTGGCCACTGCATCCTTCCATGGATTGTCACCAGCTCCCGGTGCTATGGGATAACCTACACAGAATCTTTACCAGGAAAATGAACTGCTGCCTCTACGGCCCACCTGAGGGATGAACTGAGCTATTTCCCTGCTCAGCCCCCAGCTTTTTACGCCTGAACCTTCGTAGGTGCTGCAGATGGCAGGTCTGAAACCCAAGGAGAAGACAAAAGAGGGGCATGTTCTCGTTATAGCCAAAGCCCTTGGGGATTGGGAGAAGGAGTCCTGAAATTTCTTTCCCCTAATTTGACCAGCACAGTGGGGAGGACATCTCTCTTCAGGTCATTCTTTTCCTGGCTACCCATTCTTTGCTTCACACAAGGACCACCCTATCCCCAGTTCCTGTAAGTACTCCATGTCAGAGGGATTTCTTTGAGGGGTTTTCTCTACCTTAACTTTCTTTCTTTTTTCTTTTCTGCTGTACTGGGAATTGACCAGGGCTTTGCTCATGTTGGCAAGAGCTCTACTGATGAGCTACATCGCCAGCTGTTTTTATTTTATTTTATTTTATTTTGATTCAGGATTTTGCCAGGTTGCCCAGGCTGATTCAAACTTACTATCATCCTGCCTCAACCTCCCATCTTAACGCTTTTCATTATATAGTTCAATGTTGTCGAATATATCTATCAAGTTGTGCTATAATCACCACCATTTGTCCCCATAACTCTTTACATCTTTTTAAATCCAAACTCTATGCTAATTAAACAATAACTCTCTGGTTTCCTTCCCTCAATTCTTGGCAGTTACCATTCTACCTTTTGTCCCTATAATTTTGACTACTCTAAGTATCTCCTATAAAGAGGCATCACACAGTAGTTGTCTTTTTATGTGTACCTTATTTCACTGAGTATCTTTGGAATTCATCCATGTTGTAGCATATGTCAGAATTTCCTTCCTTTTTAAGGTTGAATATTCTACTGTATGTGTATATCTCCTTTTCCTTATCCATTCATCCATTGATGGGCACTTTTAGTTGCTTCCATAGTTCAACTACTGTGAATACTGGGTTCGGGGTGTGCTATGAACCTGGGTGCACAGTATCTTTTGAGGACTTTGCTTTCAGTTCTTTTGGATATATACCTGGAAGAAGAGTTGCTGGATCATATGGTAATTCTGCAGTATTTTTATTTTTATTTTTTTGAGGAAATGCTGTACTGTATTGCACAGCATAGCATGGTACATTCCCATTTTACGGTGCACGAGGGTTGCATTTTTTCCACATCCCTGCCAGTGCTTGTTATTTTCTGTATTTCTCCAATTACTTTTCAGGTCTAAACTTGTAGTAGTTGAGCCTTGACAGCTCAACTGCTTCAGTGAGTCCTCCCCACTAGTGTGTGAGGTGTTTCCCTCCCTTTGGACATATTTCCAGGAAGCCCAAGGGATCTCAGAGTTTGGAAATTTTGAATACAGCCACTACTCTCCTAGACCCTCCCATGGCTCTCTATTGACCTCATGATCAAATCCAAGCTCTCACTCTGACCCACAATATCCTCAATGCCAGCACTCCAGCCTGTCTCCTCCCCTCACCTTGGCTTTCTTCGCAGCATTCATAATTAATCTTTTGTGGTTGTTCACAGATGTTTTCTCTGGGTAGAAAGTTTACCCCACTCTCTGCATCCCCCCAAAAGTACCCAAATTATTTATCCATTGTTTTCACTTGAACATCACTGTTGTTTGGGGGCCTTTCCTGATGTTCCTAGCCTAGGCTGAGTATCCCTTCTAGGTTCCACAGTGCCTCCCCCCTGACTTTAATATCTTTGTTTTATTTATTTATTTTTATGTGGTGCTGAGGATAGAACCCAGTGCCTCTACATGCTAGGCAAGCACTTTACCACTGACCTCAGCCCCTCCATCTCCTTTGGCTACTCAAGTTTCCTTGTTGAATTGTTTGCAATAAAGTGCAAGTTCTTAGAGCAGAACTGGGTCCTTTTGTTGTCATGTTCTCTCCAGCCCAGGATGCCTAGCACATCCTGGATCTTCCCGTATCTGTTTGTTATGTGTCAATTAGACTAACCTGAAATCTTTGTGTGGAAGAGTCTTGCCCTTGCTTCTCCAGAAGGAGTCCTCACTCCCACACTCTCTAAAGAGGGATTATCCTCCTCTCTTAATTCTTCCATTTCCTAGGAACAGGAACCTCCTCCCTCCTTGGTCAACCTCTGTCTGGAAGAAAGTCCTCCCTCACTGGAGGAATTTGCCCCACCTTGCTTCCCCCAGTAAGAGCAACTGAAGGTTGCAGGCTAAGCAAAGATATGAGGGGAGGCAAAGAGGTCCAGTGCTGCTTAAGCTCTTGGTTCTAGCTGTCTCAGAGACTACCATCCAGCCCTGTCATTTTACAGTTTTGTTCTTGAGCCAATAAATTCCCTTTTGTCTAAATTGCTTTTACTTGGGCTTCTAACACTTGCAACCAAGAGTTTTGAGCAGTCCAATCCCCAAAGGCTTGGCATCTTTAGAAGTAATCAAACAAATCGTACTGATAAGAAGTTTCACTGCAAAATGCCTGTTATATAGTCAGCTGGGCAGGAACAGGCCTTCTTATGCCTCAGGACTAGGGATTGGGAGTTTCTTTCTCTGCAGGCAGCCATTTGCATCAGCTGGTTGGCATAGAGCTGAAGAGCCTTCCAAGAAAGAACCTTGGGTTCAGACCTATGCAGAAGGGCTTTTAGATGGTGGAAGTGGGGGGATCAAACTGCATGTATGTGTGTGTGTGTGTGTGTGTGTGCATGAGAGAGAGAGAGAGAGAGAGAGAGAGAGATAGATATTGGGGCAAGCAGGGTGGCTTTGTGAGAATTCACTATAAAAGGAGATAGGCAAAGTGGATGGCTTCTTCAAGGACTTTACACCAGAGAGGCTGGTGGTTGAGAGTTTAATGTGGGGGAGTTCATCCTGCCTGAGACTCCTCTCCACATATATATGTGTAGTCCTGGAATGAAATGTAGAATGTAGTCACAGCAATCTTACATAGAAATCTCCTTGCTGACCAGTGTCCTGCCTTCCATGAGTGGTGATGAATGATCTGACTGCTGGGTCCAGCTCCAGGTCTGTACTGATGAGCTGGGTGAGTTAGGGCAAATTATTCAACTTCTTTGTCCCTCAGATTTCTCATCTGTAGAATGGTTTGTTTTAATGATTAGATGAATTAAAACATATGAAGTGTTTGGCTGGGGATGTGGCTCAAGCAGTAGTGTGCTCACCTGGCATGCGTGAGGCCCGGGTTCGATCTTCAGCACCACATACAAACAAAGATGTTGTGTCCGCCGAAAACTAAAAAAAAAAAAAAAAAAAATTAAAAAATATATATATATATATATATATATATATATATATATATAAATTTCTCTTTCTCTCAAAAAAAAATTAATTTCTAATACCACCCCTCCCCACCTCCACCCTTCCTCCCTCTTACCAAATGACTGAGCACCAAGTCACTGACAGCCCAGACCAGATTCTGGGCAGACTGTTACACTTGGAGATGTCCTCCATACACAGACCCCTATATTTGTACCACAGCAAAGATTTCAGAAGCTATCGGACTCCTACAGAATTATTCGGGAAACCCTTTCATTTTTGCAGATGAAGACTCTGAGGCCCACAGAGGAGTCCTATAGGAAAAGTACAAGTGAGGACGGTGGGAGGAGTCTCCCAGAGCGCCCAGCCTA